CTTAAAACTACCTCGAACATGGATGTTTTTGATGTGGTCCAGCTTTGTTCCGCCACCAGCCCATCTTAGGTATACATATTACCTTCCTCTAATCAATTAATTTGAGGAAATCATTTTACTAATTGACTTTCTAATCAATTTTTAATACTATTATATCCTGTCTAAATTACTGTTCGCTACTTAAAAGATTAAAACAAACTTTACTGCTAAGTTTACGGCTGCTAACCCAGTAGCCTAATGAAGGGCCTATATTATAAACCACTAATCAGGGGTCCACAATTAAGTTAACGAGTTAAATTGGTCTTTCAGTAGATACAAACATATTCGATGTAACGACACTATAACAAATTTTAATTACTATTATATTGAATACTAGATATTATTCGTGACAGTTATTTTTAAACTTTCGTGGTTAATATATATTACTAGCTGTCCCGGCAAACGTTGTTTTGCCATATAAATTAATAACGCTATAAAAAAATGGGTGTTGATGATAGAAGGGTGAAAATTTAGGGTTGTATGTATTTTTGTATGTTGTATCATAAAAAAATAGAAACTAAAAATTTTGTCTAAAAAATAAAATTTAGGGGTGGACTACCTCTAACATTTATGATGGTAGAAGGGTAACAATTTAGGATTGTATGTATTTTTGTATGCTGTATCATAAAAAAATACAAACTAAAAATTTTGTCTAAAAAATAAAATGTAGAGGTGGACTACCCCTAACATTTAGGGGGATGAAAAATAGATGTTGGTCGATTCTCAGACCTACTCAATACGCTCACAAAATTTCACGAGAATCGGTCAAGCCGTTTCGGAGGAGTATGGGAACGAAAACTGTGACACGAGAATTTTATATATACATAAGATTTAAATTAATATACATTAATAAAATTATTTAATTGAATTAGTGCTAATCGGTAGTTTGTATTCACACACTTAAACTTAAATTGTAAAGTAATAATAAAATTACTTAAAAGAGCAACACACAAGTTTCTTGCTCGTTCTTCTTGTGATGAGACAGCTTTCCGAATGAGCGGTAGATTAAAAAAAAATGTGATGACTATTCAAAAGTCCTTCAATGTAAGTGTATTTGAATTTGATTTTCTATTGCTATTTCTATTGTATTAAAAATTAATTTATTTTATTGAAAATGTTGTAATTATTTAAATTACTAACCGGGTCATAACACGAATAATTTTATGTCAAATAAAGGTATTTACCACTCAATGTTTCGACTAGGTTGCACTCGCCCTGGACACTATCGCGGTTTTTGCTTCCTGTAAAGAGGGAAGTCGTAGACCATGTCACTCAACGTCAATTGGAGTGTCTGTTTGCAATATTGAAATAACCGTTTTTTACTACATGCATATGAATATAAATATGGTACACACCAAAATAACATTTTTTACAATTTTTGTCTGTCATCTGTCTGTTTGTTCGGGCTAATCTCTGAAATGGCTGGACCGATTTTGACGGAACTTTTTTTGGCAGGTAGCTGATGTAATAAGGAGTAACTTAGGCTACTTTTATTTTAGAAAAATAAAGTTAAATTCTACACGGACTATGTCGCGGGTGCAGCTAGTAAAAAATAAAATAAAAGTTATCAGCTTTCGGGCCTTCGATACTGAATCATAGTAACGCATACCTACTTCATAGTAGAGGTAAATATGGCTACTATACCACGTGACTCACACAAAAAATCTATTAATATTTAATACACTTGGTTACTACTCGTGTTCATATAATGAATATCTAGAATGCAACCGGACTTGCTAATGTCAAACTTGTAATAAAATATACAGACACGACAGCCTCCGTATAACAGGGTCTGTCTGTTAGTATTATTGTAATAAGAGATAACCGTTTATTTATAGCTAAGATGATAGTATTCTCTGTTGATTATAATAATCTGAATATTCTTATTAAGAACATGAAATGTTTTTTGCCTCTGTCAGTACTGGATCGCTGACAAATCACAAAGCAAAAAAAATTGAAACAATTTTTTTTTTAAATGTTATTTCAATCGTTATAATTTATATATTAAAAAAATACACCCATGATTCTAGAGTTAACACATAGATATACCACTTATAGATTTGTAAAAAAAAGTAAAAATATCACAGTGAAAATTTTGATGAGCTCTCCTGTAAAATTCACCATTAGCGTCATGTGGCCGTTTACCATTTAATCAGCGATTTGTTAGCAGAGTTATTTATTGTTAGTAAAGAAAATAATCCTTATCCTTTCTTATTGCTAATATTATAAATGCGAAATAACTCTGTCTGTCTGCTTTCAGGCCGAAACCACAGATTTAAATGAAATTTGGTACACAAATCGTCTAGACCCTGAGTAAGGACATAGCCTATTTTTAAATGCGAAAAAGGTTGTAAGGGGTTGTAAGGGGTTGAAAGGGGTTGTAAGGGGTTGAAAGGGGAGATGAAAGTTTATAAGGAATACTGTCATTTCTAAGCTAGTAGCTTGAAACTTATTGCGCTCGTCGACTGAATGCCGCGGCTCACGCAACGAAAGAGGATTATTCAACTACCGACCTCCGTATTTATAGACCAAAGTCAGTGTAGTAGGTTGGTCTATAAATACTAGATGGCGCTATTTGCAATATTCGTAATAATCCTTACATTGGGTACTTCATTAGTACTAAAAACAAACTACCTTCTTTTAATATATTTTTAAAATATCGGATTTTTTCTACAATAATGATGTGAATTCTAACACATATATAATACCTTCCTTAAGATATCATCTTCATTCCTACGTCCATTTCATTCACTCATAATTTAAGAGCTGTGCTCTTGTCGGTGGAGCTCCCGCCACCTTCCACGATCTTCCATCAGTCTTTTTAGCTGTTGATACGACACGACTCCAACTTTTTCTTTAACTTGCTTGATAGAGCTGTGTCTCTGTCTTCCCCTTCCTCTCTTTCCATCTATTTTTCCTTCTATAATGTTGTTAATTAGTTCGTCGTGTCGTATCGAGTGCCCTAACATTTTCCCCGCCTATTCTCAATAATATCTATGATCTGTCTCTTTTCTTTAATCCTCTCAAGCACTTCTTCATTCCTTATTTTATTTCATTCCTACGTATTACATGAATAATCTACAATCTAAGTATCCACGTACATGAAGATTATGCATTAATAGACTGATATTGCCGATTGAATTTACATTGTGAAAATGCATGTTTAAATTACTAACCTGTGCGATATATGAATTCAAAACGTTCATTTTCGTGTTGTACAGTTGGATGATAGAATAACGTTATTTGTGGTATAGAAGAGCGGTTATTCGAGTCGTAATACACTAGTTCTATGAACAGTCATAAAATAATTTTAACAACAACAGCTTAGGCGGTTACCGCAGTAAATATTAATAGTTAACCGAACTAAAGATTAAGAAATAGGAAAGCTGTATCTTACTAATATTATAAACCAGCTATGCAACCCGGATTTGCACGGGTGTACATGTATTATATATATAAACCTTCCTCTTGAATCACTCTATCTATTAAAAAAACCGCTTCAAAATCCGTTGCGTAGTTTTAAAGATTTAAGCATACATAGGGACAGACAGCGACAGCGACTTTGTTTTATACTATGTAGCGATAGTAAGATTATTAATATTTCGCAGAAAGCAAATCCTACATTAATCTATTCTGTAAGTACTTAGTTTACTGTTTAGTGTTTTTTTTTGTGGAAATTATGATAAAACTTGAATTGCTAGCATCGGTGGCTAACGAGGTTTCCTTCTCATCAGTTCGGACAGAGAGCTCCGTTAACAAGCTGACTTCGTGAGTAGTTGGTATCCATTTGCAAAACACATGAAGAAATTCAATTAGGGAAATAGAAGCAGAAAATTACGCAAGCGTATTTTATATGCTAAAGTATGTTTTGGATTTTAACGTTATTTTTCTAAAATAAAAGAATTTTTCGACAATAAAAGTAGCCTAAGTTACTCCTTATTACCTCAGCTACCTGCCTAAAAGAGTCCCGTCAAAATCGGTTCAGTCATTTCAGAGATTAGCCAGAACAACCAGACAGACAGACAAAAATAGTAAAAAATGTTTTTTTGGGGTATATACCGTATTTATATTCATATGCATGTCGTAAAAAACGGTTATTTCAATATTACAAACATACACTCCAATTTTATTTATATGTACAGATGTATAGATGAGATAGTTAACAGAAGTTAGAAGTTTCGCGCCAATATATGTAATTACTTTTTTTTAATGAAATCATCATTGCATAGTACGAAACAAAGTTGCTGTCGCTGTCTGTCCGTTCCTATGTATGCTTAAATCTTCAAAACTACGCAACGGATTTTGAAGCGGTCTTTTTAATAGATAAAGTGATTCAAGAGGAAGTTTTATATGTATAATACATGTACACCCGGGCAAAGCCGGGACGAGTAGTTAGTACCTACATAAGTTATCGTAGATCGTTAACAGTTAGAAGTTTCGCTCCATTATATATTACGATTTTTTATGAAATCAATAATAAAATAGCCCTTGAAAATTCACACAGCGTCATCTAGTCCCAAGCGAAGCATAAGTTATATTATGGGTACTAGACAACTAATATATTATATTGTAAATACATACATAATATACATAGAAAACACCCAGACTGATACAATCATACTCATGAATACAAATGTTTATACCATGCAAGGTAGCGAACCCGCGACCATCGGAATTAAAGCAATTTGCTAAACCTATAGGCCACAGCTGCCGTTTTTATTCATTCAATTCATCAATTGGCCTGATAAGTAATTTGCTGGTAAGTGGTAACCACCATCCTATATGTACAGCATTATGGGGAAGATATATGTACATAGCGATGCCCGCGGCACCTCTTCCGTCACAAAGAGGACTGCGCTGCCCTGAAGCTTCTCAAAGATTTTAATACAAATTTCTTCTATATTACCTTATAATAACTTGGTATGGACTGCCCTACTTCAATAGATAATATGGGTAGTTACCGTTTATACGCAACGACACAAATACAAGCACGGCCGTCGAACCTGCACCCGGTCAACGCACCAAGATTTATCTCTTCATCCGCTGCACCAGCCCTGCAGCCCTCATTTAAACTGCACTCACTGTTTTCATGCGTATTTTTTCACTCACTCACACTCACACTGCACATTCTATTTGCGAACTGGATGCGGTAACGAATTCACACGCGGCGAATGAGTTGGTGACGGGCGGAATCTTTCACTCCCGATTTTGACAGTACCTTTTTAAATTGGCCAGTAAAGTGCGCAGGCTACATGCGCATGCGCAACACGTGGTACAGAAACGGGCGGTGCTCGCTCACTGGCCCGCGATCCGGCTCGGCGAGGACCCCGCGCGTCTCACCGCCACCGCACCAACCTGCTCCGAGCTTTTTTGCGGTAAAAAGCTTACAGATAAAAGTAAAATTATTGCGCTCCCACGCCACCAGCAATTTGACTGCTAATGGCGCCCCTGCTTCCGATCGATTTGAAATCCTATTAATTGTTATAATAAATATAATTATTACATAGTATAAGACAAAGTCGCTGTCGCTGTCTGTCTGTCACTATGTATGCTTCAATCTTTAAAACTACGCAACGGATTGTGAAGCGGTTTTTTTTAATAGATAGAGTGATTCAAGAGGAAGGTTTATATGTATACATGTACACTCGGGCGAAGCCGGGGCGTGTAGCTAGTAATCTATAATACACTAATACCTAACCTTATAAAATTTTATCGATTCCTATTTAGATCTGTTGAAATCCTAATTGATATTTTATTAATAGTAGATTTCTATATAGCGCTTTACGGCAATACAGATTTTGTTATAAATGTGTTTTCTCTTTTCCATATAACTGACGAGTATGATCTAAATATATATAACTCAAAGGTGACTGACATAGTGATCTATCAACGCATAGCCCAAACCACTAGACGGATCGGGCTGAAATTTGGCATACAGGTAGATGTTATCACGTAGGCATCCGCTAAGAAAGGATTTTGATTAATTCTACCCCCAAGGGGATACAATAGGGGATGAAAGTTTGTATGAAACTTTGTCAATTTTAAACCGATCGGGCTGAGACTTTGCATGCATAAAGCTGCTATGACGTAGGCATCTCTTAAGAAAGGATTTTGATAAGTTCCACCCCTAAGGGGATAAATATACGCGAGCGAAGCCGCGGGCAAAAACTCATTCATACATAAAATCCCACAAGTTAACTCATTAGTACCAGTGTACCACGTCAGGTTGACCTCCACGCGGTTCCCCTTGGAAACCATCATGACTAACTTATATACGAATCATATTAAAAGTTGTATAAAATATAAATTGTCTGTGTGGCACAAATTGTCTCAAGGCACTGACGACGGCAATCTATGCATAAAGCTCTATGACGTAGGCATGCATTAAGGGGATAAATTAACGCGAGCGAAGCCGCGGGCAAAAGCTAGTATAAATATAATGGATAATGGATAATTAGATTTTGATTAATTCTACCCCCAAGGGGATACAATAGGGGGTGGAAGTTTGTATGAAACTTTGTCAATTTTGAACCGATCGGGTTTAGACTTTGCATGCATAAAGCTACTATAACTCTCGCGCGGATCACTTCCCTGCCCACTCGGGCTGAATGTAAATTGGGCTTTAAGTATAGAAATATAACGCCATGCGTTCATTTGCTTATTTACAAATGCACACTCGATTTATAAATCTACAAAGCTCCAAAGGATGTTTCGACGTTGAGATACAAGTTTAAATTGATTCCAAAAACTAGTTTGACCGCGTTCGTCCGCGAAAAAACTGAACCTGCGATATGTGGCCATACGATTCCAGACATCAACCAATGACCTGCATGATTAGTGACGATTCGATGTCCAGTTGGTAAAGAACTCGGTCGAGTCTCAACTCAACTGTTTTCAAATTGGATGTTACGATATGACGATTATTATGATGTATATTTTTTAAGTTTCGCATTTAGTACACATTATGAACAGTTTTAACGGGTTGTATCACGAATGATTTTGAATTGACAATTATAATCTTATTCTTACTAGTATTATAAACACGAAAGTTTTTGAGGACGGACCGGAAGACGCATTATGGGAAGGCCTCCAGCAAGGTGGACCGACGATCTGGTCAAAATCGCTGGAAGGCATTGGATGCGAGCAGCGCAGAACCGATCGTCGTGGACATCTTTGGGGGAGGCCTATGTCCAGCAGTGGACGTCTTCCGGGCTGCGATGATGATGATGATGATGATGAAAGTTTTTGAGTATGATTGGATGGATGTTTGTTACTCTTTCACGCAAAACTCTGAACAGATTTTGACGAAACTTCGCCTTAATATAGGGTGTTCATCAGAATAACACATAGACTATAATTTAAGAATATATTATATAAATTGTAGGGAAGTATAATAATAAATGTCAAGTAAATATGATGCAAACGAAGTTACTCGGATCAACTAGTAAATAATAACAAAAATAAGAGCTTAGATTTCATTAAAACATAACATATTATTTAGAATTTCCCTTGTACTCCAACCAGCTGTGTACTAACTGCGACATAAAATACATGCACATTACTTACTCAATAATTATACTTATACTAGCTTTTGCTCACGGCTTCGCTCGCGTTAATTTATCCCCTTAAGGGTGGAATTTATCAAAATCCTTTCTTAGGGGATGCCTACGTCATAGTCGTTTTATACATGCAAAGTCTAAGCCCGATCGGTTTAAAATTGACAAAGTTTCACCCCCTATTTTATCCCCTTGGGGGTAGAATTAATCAAAATCCTTTCTTAGCGGATGCCTACGTCATAACATCTACCTGCATGCCAAATTTCAGTCCGATCCTTCCAGTGGTTTGGGCTGTGCGTTGATAGAACACTATGTCAGTCATCTTATATATATTTAGATTGCGATTGTTTGCTGCAGGAATATTACTATATTTAAGTTGTTATACATTGGAAATAAAGAATGCTTACAATTTATTGTACACTGAATTTACTTTACATTAAATGACGCCATGGAATGTTCGAGAAGAAGTGAAAAAATGTAGATATATAAAGTTAAACAAAACAACATCGATGTTCCATGCGTGACGTTCCAAATTTGAATTTTATAATTTTATTTTTAAATGTATTATATGGCTATTTGATATTGCAAACAACGATATAAACATTTTTTTTTTAATTTAAACTGAAGATAAAAATCACCACCCGTACGTATTATGGAAACTACAAACGTAACTACAATCTCTTGTCATATAACACTAGACTTTATTCACCGATAAAACAGTAATTAAGGAGCTGCGAATGCACATTCAGTATCATGCTGCAACATTAACGGAGTACAAGATGATACAGATAACGCAGTCGATCTAATTTACACTCTTATGGAGCCGACATTAACGCGAATCTTATTAATTTGCTGTAATAAAAATAATTACATATAAAACACGTGTTCCAAAGTTATTATTATGACGAGCGTGCACGGCAATAGTTGTTCATGCACGGGATTTTCATTTAATGTTATACATAGACACCTATATAAATATACATTGTAAATAAAGTGACTTTTAAAAAAAACAGCAATATTCGTAATATTAAAATTAGATTTAAAGACAAACTTGTCGTTTAGAAAAAATCAATAGGTTTTTTATGGGAATAGGTATAAAAATTTACAATAGGATACCAAAGGATATACTGGAATTACCCTTAAATAAATTCAAAACAACTGTTAAATCATATTTACTGAGCAAAGCCTATTACTCACTAAACGATTACTTGAATGACGAGCGTGCATGGCAATAGTTGTTCATGCACGGGATTTTCATTTAATGTTAGACATAGACACCTATATAAATATAGATTGTAAATAAACTGACTTTAAAAAATCATAGTTTCTTGCCAGTTCTTCTCGATTGAATCTGTATATTGAAATGTTAGGGGAAATAAATATAATATAAAGAAAATTGACGTTCATAAGCGGCTAAAATGTCCGACATGAATAAATGATTATTGAATTTTAATTTTAATGTACCCGTTCTTCTCAATTGGATCTATATACTGAACTGGACAGTAGGGAAAAATTATAATATAAAAAATGTAACGTTCATAAGCGGCTAAAATGTCCTACATGAATAAATGAATGAACGAATTTATTATTATGTTCTACGGTAACTTTGCAAAGCGCTGGGCGTTATCTAGTGTTTATGACTTTATGGCTACCTCGTAAACACAACATAGATGTTACATGTAAATAGCTCGTAATAAAGCTACAGATTGCACCTCATCCGCTAACTACGTTATGTTGCTAAGTTGCTGGATTACACTCGTCGGCCACTGTTCTGTACCTTTTTTTTTTCTTGGGGAAATCTGTCATGGAGACCCGCCCGTCCAGGGGTAACAAGCGGGTACTGCCGGACTCCTACCGGCTTAAAACCCAAGGTGTACCTCTACTGCTTATTGCTGGAGCTCCGGGTGTGCGCGAGCATTCTTCCACAGCTCCGACGGCGGGGACCCATCTCAGTAGACGGGTCATCGCGGGTATACGCGCGCACCTTCTCAAGGCTGCGATGTCGACGGGGAAGCAGCCGCCCCTACGCCCCTGGCCCGTGCGGAGGAAGGGGAACGACACAGGAACGACCCTCCTCCGTCTAGCTCGTCTCCGACGAATTGGGTCGGCGGAGGTAGTAATTTCACGTCCTCTCTCTGCCGCCTCCTTATTGGCCATTACCAACTCGCAGTATGCGACGGCGGCTGACCAGGACCTCTCGTTACTCACCATCTCACGTATAACTGCTGGCAACGAGAGGTTATTTCCTATGACTGCAACCTCTTTGGCGAATGCCGAACTATGTAATATTATGTTATCTGTGGCCGATCATTCTTGCAATGTGTATTGCGCCGTGTCCTGATTACTGTTCGGTACCTACCACAACCTTCCTGTTAGACTCAATATTGGTTGATGATTTTACAGCTGTCCGTGTCGGTTGCGCATATAATGATAATAACAATAAGACGACCTCGGTGGTCTAGCGGTCTAGCGCACCGCTTTAAGACCGATGGTCGCGGGTGCGATTCCTCGGCACAAACATTTGTATTCATGAGTATGATTGTTTGTGTCGGTCTGGGTGTTTTCTATGTATAATATGTATGTATTTACAAAAAAAAAATCTATGTATTTGTATCAGTTGTCTAGTACCCATAACGTTTTAACGTCAGTCGCTATCAAAGATGATAGTAGACAAAACATATTTTTTTTATAAAATTGTATAAAAAATCTGCAAAGTTTCGACGACAGCC